GTGACACTCGCGGTGATTTCAGCATCTGCCGTCTCACTAAATGAGGACGTAAACACATGAACAACATCTCCAGAACTGCTCTAAGAGTCACTTCATGAGCATTTTAGCGTTTGATTTGAGTAAAACTAGCGTCATCTCTCATACACAGAACTTTAAAGGTATTCACGGCAACCCGTCAAAATAAAAGTCCGGTTTGGTTTGAAGACATTGTGCCTATAACTATTTTTCAGTAGAATGTACATAGCCTCCTCCTCCTCCTACTACTACTACTACTACTAAAAATGAAACAAACATTATTTTTCAAGGAATAATCACACAAAACAAAAAAAAAAAATCACAAGGCTACTTTAAGAAAACTAAAACACAGAATTTGGTAACAATAAAAAGTATAAATAATATGGTGAGAAAAAATAAAAAATTTCATAGGGCCCTAAACATGTCATTTTTGTTAAACTTAAAAAAAAAATGGTGTGAAAATGTATACGTTTCATGGTTTTAAATAATTAGACATGCTTTTTAATTAATAAAATTTAATTTAACTATTAAAAAGGAGTCGAGAAAAATTAAGGGATATTTGTGTTAATTATTTATTTTTATTTATACTTTTTTATCATTTTTGTGCAATTACTTGCCTGTCAATTGAGTTCGTGGCAAAACATTTTGCAGTGTTTACATGTTGTTTATTACTGCATACAATTTATTAAAATAGATGTTTAATTTCATAAAGTACAAGTTGATTTCAAAATAAATTTTAGCATTTTGTGTTTTTCAGTTGAATAAAAGACTATTTTTCCCTATATATTTCAGAGGAATTCTTCAAAAAAAATCTAAAAATCTTGTCTCGTCTCATTCTCGTGAACCCAGTCTCGTGTCTCGTCACACCCCTAGGAGATAGTTTGTCAAATACTGTGAAAAACCTGTGTTTGCTATTTTGATGACACTGTACCTGATTGCCTTTGCCCACAACCACATTGTCCACATTTGTAGGATTGACGCCCAACTGTTAAAAAGTAAACAAACGGTTCAAACATGCAATATTATAATTTGCAGATTTCCTTACTATTAAAATATCCATCATATTATGCATTTTTCTTTTAATATTTACTATAATATTCTAGCATACCTGTTTAACAGTGATAAATCCCCTGTTGCAATCAGCTCTCAATTCAACTGCAAGAAAACAAAAACATATTAGTGTTAGTTTCTTGAATAAAGCCTGGATCTCTCAATTGCTCATATAGAAAAAACATCTCAACCTTGTTCTCTTGAGCACTTTTTGTCTTTTATCTTAGTTTCTGGCCCTCGACCCAGAGTCACGGATTGTTGGTGATGAAGCTGGATGGGTTTGTGTGAATCATCTTCACTTACTAGTGAGCACACAGGCATCTCCCTGAAAACATAGAATGAAATAGTTCGATTCTTCCGTGAAACTAACAGCATACGCTGTCTAACGTGCTTCTCTAAACTCAGCATGCATCCATCACTTACCCGCTGGTGTAATATGTGTAATATATCTAGAACAGAAAGTGTTGCAGATGAAAACAAAACACTGTGAGCTGAACAACACTGCAGCACATGACGCACGATCTTCTTCGTGGACGTCAACTAACAAACAGAAGCGCAAGTACTGCCACCTACCGGTCAAATACAGCGCTGTGGCCTCACACACTAGAGAAGAATTCGTGTTTGTGGACGTATCTTTACATAAACTACTACATAAAAAATATTATTGTTTTATTATATAGAATAAAGTGTCTTACAGGATTAATAGTTAACAGGATTTTACTGAGGCATTTTACAATCGGTGTAAGGCATACCCTTCATTTTCTAACAAATTACAAACTAATATCCCTCAGATAATTACACTTTTATTCTATTTGAAAGATTATTCATAAATGATCAGTTTTTTTTTACTTACTTATTTGTTTATAAATTTGCACTGATTTACAGTGGGCAAGTCGAAACAAAATGGCTAAAACCGAATGATGCTGAAATCCTTTTTTAAAGGTCGTTTTAATTGCACACCTGTTACTAAATTAATGCACTTAATTTGAATCCCCTGAACATCTTTTCTACAATTGTATTATTGTTACGTGATTTTGGGACAACATGTATAAATGGTTGGTTACAAAGAACATAATAGGTGCTTTTGAATATCACATTATCAAGTTTGGAGCTTGTATGAATAATCTGTGGAATAATATTTGGATTATATTAAGTTGTATCTACACAAATGCAGATTTGTTAATAAGGCTGCTCCAAGTTTTGTGACTCAATCTCAACTCATCTCAAACTCTCAAATGTATATATGCTGATAAATATTATAACATTATATGTCGATCAACCTCCCTAAACCTTTGCTTATTTCGATTATTTGTAAGCAGTTTTTAAATTATATTTTATATAGGCTATTTAAATAAATATTTATTCATTTTCTCCTCAGTGTATGCTGCTTGGCTTGTTTGTGTTTGACAATGATAATGACTGGTTGTTATTTAAAGAGGATTACCAGAGATTTAATACAAATAATGCTACGTTGCATGGCAACTGTAAACAGCCTACAATTAGATAATGAATGAAATTACTTGGAAGAACCGTTTATTATTATGAATAATACATGCAGATGGTTATTGAACATTTGTGAGACTAGCTGCCACCGTTTTATAAAAGCAATAAACCACTCGAAGTCATGCATGACAGTGATTATACTATAAATCAACTTCTTGTAAAGTCAATGTAACACCGGCAGCTTTATTGATTGATTTTACCATATTTAGCCTACCTCATTTACACCCTAAAACAAAACCCATTTCGACTAAAATGTCATTAACGAGTACATCTGATCATTATCCACATGCACTGCTCAGAATCAGGACGGTGTCTGTTTTGTGTGAAGGAGGAAAGATGCAATAATGTGACTGTGACTTTTATGCGAGTTGTGTGGAGTAACTCGCTCCTGTGATCTCATGTCACTGACTTCCTTCTTCAGAGGGGGTCACTGAGAGATCAGGTAAGAGCTGGCCAGCACCCACTACACACTTTAAATCATCTCAACACTGGGGATTTCAGATTTCCGTGTCTTGTCATGTCGCTTTGCGTTATGTCCCCGAGGTTTCATCTGATGTTATGCACGAGTTGACGGGATTTCTGTCATTCTACACAGCTTGAAGGTTAGCACAGGCTAGTTAGCTTCAGTTTGACACACATTTCCCCGCACGCTGACATTATTAAAGGGCCTTTAGAGGATAAACGCGCATTTGAGAGGCTTACAGTTGATTTGTCATCACGTAAGTGTTGTATTTACAGAAATATCTGTGTTATTGACTTTCCGCCTCCATGTCTCGCGATAGCGCGTCAGTTTTATTAGCCGTTAGCTGAATTAGCCGTCAAAGTCATTTTACATTTATGCATATGTGTATCAGCGAACATGATTTTTAATAAAACATTAAGAGTGTTTATATTGTATGTCATGGCGTTATGAGTAAACTCTGTCATTTTTACGTCGTTTGGACTCGTAGTTGTGTGTGAATGACTCGTAAAACACAGGCCTCATTAATCTAAACAAAGTTTAAAATAGCCCGAGATGTGTTTGTTTTCATTTATTGCGGTCATAGACGCTGCTGTTTAAAGAGTTTTGTTTTAATTCGTGTCTGTAAATGTCAAGTAGTGGGTTCAGAGAGTGACACGTAGGCGAAACGAGCCCATTGACATGATATCCACGGGGTATAACACGTTTCAGTCTATATATGGAAGATTTGGGCTGTGTTTCAAAACCTAGTGTGCTGTCAACCTACACACAACCCACAAAATGCTGTGGGGAACAACACAACTTGTGTGTGTATGTAAACATTTCAGGTGCCTTGGCGTACAAGAGAAAGTCTTGCCCCCATGAAGGAGTGAATCACTCAGGTAAAGGTGTCAACTAACCGTTTAACCCTTTGTGTTCACCCAGACCCCCGTCAGACACTGTGAAGCCACGGGCTGTCGTGATGTCGGAGCCCAAAGCGCCCACCCCGGCCCCTGGGGACACCTATAAAGGCTGGCTCTTCAAATGGACTAATTACATCAAGGGATACCAAAGGCGATGGTTCGTCCTGAGCAATGGCTTGCTGTCTTACTACAGGTGAGTTTGTGGTGTGTTTTTGTTGTTTATCGACCTCTAGGGAGAAAAAAAAAATGTTGTCAGGTATTGTTTCTGTCAGACAACAGGTCTCCCAAAGGTTGATAGGAACGTCTGTTGTCCTAATGAACCCTTTGTGAGCTGTCAAGTGTTCTTTGGCCTTTCACCATTATCTGATAAGATGCTAAGCTTTAGATGGTGAAATAACTTGATATTCTTGGTACGGCAAGCACCACTTTTTTGAGGATTTCACTCATACAAACTCCTCAAACTTATGCATATAACCTTTCCTATATGGTTTGTGCTTTATTGATGATGTCTCAAATCATACGACTTACTTCAAAACATTGGACTGGATGGACCAGTGTTATTTTAGTATTATTTATATACTATTATAGTTTTTAATCATATTTTAAATTTGCTTTTATTTTTTAGATTTCATTTTAAATGTAGTTTAATTTTTAGTAATTTTGTAATGTGCTTTTGTCATTTTTTTATTGTTTAAATTTTTGTTTTTGTTTTTGTAATGTTCATTTTTTATTAGTTTTTGTACTTATTTTTAAATACCACTATTTAGGTTTAATTTTATTTTATTTCAGTTTTAGTTTTTATTTATTTTATTTTCATTTAGTAACTTTGGTGCATCAACTTACACTAAATGAAAAATTTAAATGCTGCTTTGACCGCTAACTGAAATAAGTTAAAGTTTTAATCTCATATTCATATTTTTAGTTTCAGCTTTATTTCAATTATAGTTTTAGTTAATTATGATAACCCTAGGATGGACGTATGTAAACGGACAAAAAAACTCAACACCTTCTGGTGTTCGTCAGTCTGTAAGATGATGCCGTTTTACGTAATTAGATTTGAGTGGGAGTTGATCTGGTGGTGAAGCCACATTCATCTCATTGGGCTCTGTTAATTATTAATACTGCGTGTGAGAGCACGCAGGAGCGCCCGCATGTGTGTCTGTTTGCTCGTGCGATCCTCACTGTTTGCTCAACAGTTTGAGATGAGAGGATAACACATTCTTTAAAATCCACCCTCGTCATCTGATGTTTAAATATACAATAAAATAACAAGGTCCAACGCCTCAGCAGTTGGCTAGTGAGAGTATGTGCTTTATGTTTGACTACTTTGCTTATGTTGTAATTGTTTCTTGAATACGGAAATGAAATGTAAACGTCATTAAATAAATACTGTGTTGATGCCGCACCAAACCAAATAAAAAAAGATCTGTAGTGCTTCATTCAGTTCGGGATGAACATGACCAAAAAATTATGTTTGTGGCATCGAAACATCCCATTTCCAAAAGAATTCACAAATAGCTGATTTTTACTGCAGTGATGATATACGGTTGATTATTATTTGATAATCTAATATTTGACAAAGCTTACTGGCGCTTTGTAAATGCATACACCACCAATGTTTGGGGGCAGTAAGGCTTTGAAAGAAATTAATACTTTTATTCAGCAAGGATGCGAAATGATCAAAAGTGACAGTAAAGACATTTATAATGCTGTTCTTCTGAACTTTCAATTAATCAGAGAATCCTGAAAAACTGTATCACAGTTTTCACAAAAACATGAAGCAGCACAACTGTTTTCAACAGTGATCATAATCAGAAATGTTTCTGGAGCAGCAAATCAGCATATTAGAATGATTTCTGAGTTCTGAGTAATGATGCTGAAAATCAGCTTTGCATCACAGGAATAAATTACATTTTAAAATGTATTCAAATAGAAAGCATTTGTTTTAAATTGCAATAATATTTTACAATATTACTGTATTTCTGATCAAATAAATGCAGCCTTGGTGAGAATAAGAGGCTTCTTTTAAAACATTTACCAACCACAACTTTTGGACTGTTGTGTATCTGAATAAAAACCTGAAATTCTGATCAAATTTGGCTTTGCATTAAATTTTAATGTAGTAACTCTTGATAAATCTCAAATATTATTACTTAGAGGGTGGATTGTCTACTTAAGTTAAAAAGCATATGGCATGCTTTATTAAATGTTTATTATACAGTCTGTTACATATGCAACTTTTAAATACTGAATTTAAGTTGAAACTGTGATATCAGTATAACAGATGCTTGTCTAAGAAGCCCAGTGCATTGCATGCACAGTTTGATGTAGTGCATTGCATTTGTTGTGTGATGTGATAAAATTGAAAAGATTTGCACAAAATAACTTCAAAACTATCAAAATACAGTGGAAACATCCCACTCATTTTGTGTAATGCAATTGCCATTATGATTTAGTTTTAAAGCACTGATCACTGACTGTTTCCAACATCAGGTTGTGATTTCTATAGTGAATATATTGTTATGGAGCAATGCTCCACTCTAAAGATTTTTCATCCGCTAGAAATTGTTCTTTGTGATTGCTCTATGGAAATTATTTTTTAAAAATCCATATCCATTAATCATAAACAGGGTGTGGCAAACCCCACCCTAGCATTACGGTGTAAATAAAAGACACCAGTGCACATTGTCTTGTCCACCTCCACATGATTGGCTGAGCGAGTTTGGGTCTTAACAGGTCATCTCTGTTCAGGAGGATCACACGCTCGACTTAAGGCTTGATTTCAGCACTTCCTCTGCTCCTGCAGGCAGACCTCAGTGGTTTCTCATCGCTCTCATTGTGTGTGTGAAAGATGCATCAGGAAATGTAGAGGGCGAGTAAGAGATTTCACAGTTTCACGGGTTACAGGCTCAGGACTGTTGTGCTTCTGTTAAATCGCCTGGCATCGGTCTTGTGCCATGTCATAGCTCATCCAAACTGGTCTTGCCTCATTTTTTCCTGCAGAGTGTAAAAAAATCCTGGAACTGGTGATTCATCAGTGTTGGCAAATTACAGTTGG